CCGCTCACCCATGCCGATGGAAGCAAACCTTCCGACAGCCGCCTACACTGTTCCGGGTAGGTGGCCTGGTTGAGCACGAAGCCTTTGTTACTAGCTTCTATCTACCGATGCACTTGTTACGTCCATCCGGTTGCCCAAGGAACTGTGATCTTGGAGGCAGGCTGGGACCGGAGCCCGTGGAGCGAACGACGGAGCGAACGCACGTCGTTCGTAAGAAACACGTCGTTCTCGACGACTTGCGGAAGCGAATCGAAAGCGAATCGGTCATTGAGATAGGTATGGCTCCAGAAAGGTTTGGCCGACAGAGATCTGAGGTGATTGAGACATGGGATGCTCGCATCGACGTTTCTCCTCAGTTGCTTTTAGAAGGCCAAAGCTGGGAACGTGGCACCGGATTTTGTTGCCAAAGAGGGAGACCCTCAATTATATAGCCTTGGTAATGGGAAGAGCAAACACCAATGGTCCAGCAAAGGAGCTTGTTTGTGAATCTTTTCTCATTCCGAATCCTCATTGTCTTAGACATGGCTAGCAATGCTATCGTGTCCTGCACGGTCACCCGCTTCGCTTGGACTTTGGGCAGGTCACCGGCACCGGGCCTGACTACGTCGACACCAAGGTGGGGGGCCGCACATGCGTGCCGTCGAGCGGTGCGGACCAGGCTCCTGGCAGTCGGAGTCTTTCGGTTTGCGGAGCATTGAACTAAATGAGGCTTAAGAATCTGAACCCCAAGGATGCCCTGAGAACCTGCAGAATCCCTTGTTTGTAAAGATCACTTTTGGATTCCTACACAATGCAATTGGTATTTGCGTTTGTGCCTCCTGCAGAAAAGTTGCACATGATTCTGCCCATGAGCCTTGGGGCCTTGCTACTTGGGGTTGGAGTCCGAACCTCCATTGGCACTGCATTGGAAATGATTCCGGAAAACAGGAAAACCAAGAAGAACGGGTGATTCACAGAACTAGGGTTTCAATTCCCAGGGGCTAAGTCAAGTGTACCAGTGTACCATTTGTTTCGTTTTGTTTTGAGGTCTTGAACGATGGGCGCCTGGGGGAGAAGAAGAACGTGAATGTGCCCGGCGCCGGGGCACTTGGGGGCACTCCGCAGCGCTCCGCAACACTTGATAGTGGCGGATTTCTGGAAAACCACAACGTCTTCCAACCTAATAGCAAACTAGTAGCGTCCGATCGCTCCTAGTAGCGATGCCAGGAGCCCCTAGTAGCGAACATTGCTCCCAGTAGCAAGGCCAGGAGCCCCTAGTAGCATCCTTGTTCCTAATGGCAAACTATATGAGGACCTTTCTTCCCTTTCTTTTTCTTTGCTTCCAATAGCGATGGCCTCCAACCAAATAGCCATGTCCTCCAACCACAGCGTCTTGCGCTTTTGACAGCTTGGAAACTCTTCCCGCTTGAACCCTGCAAAGCCATGGCTTTCCGGCAATTCTTACGCTCATCACCATCCAGCACAGTTGATTTTAGTCGCTCCAGACCCGGACCATCATTTCGGCGAGTGATAGCTTGAGCGCTCACTGCGCAGTTCGATTGTGTTCAGTCGGAATGTTGTGGTCGGACTCGGACCGACCGATCCACTACCTTTTTGGTGCAAAGCATCTCCCAACGTTCACGTTCGATCGGACTCTGTCTCAGGTGAAGATCAATCTTCCCGTCGTCGATGAGCGTGAGATCCATGACATTGCCGCCCGGCGAGAGTGCCGCCCACGATGCTTGAAAAGCGGACGGGTAGGAAGGTTTGGAGTGCCATGAGCTTCCAAGTCTTGATGCGAACACAAAGGTCCACCGGAGGAGACATGGGACGAATACGACAGGCCTTTTTGCCCCATAAATTGGCAAAGTTCTCGAAAGTAAACAGTTGCAGGCAACAACGGCATAGTGAACGTCTCGGAGTCCACCCATCGAGTGTCGAACGACAAATTGGGTTCCAACGACGTGTTCCGCTGGGCAAACAACGACCGCCGGTTTTCTGGAGGTCAACTGGGCCAAGCCGCACAAGGTGCGGGAGTCGCTCGGCGCGCCGTTTTGGTAGCCGATCTCAGTCGATCCACACGTGCAAGTCTCTACCTAGACCACATGGGAGTTGCGAAAGGGCTGAAGGAGTCTTTCTTTCTTTTTCACATGTCTCACATGCTAAGCAAGGCTCTGCATTCAAGGATTCATGCGTAGCAAGATATTGCTTCTAGTTCATGAGTTTGAAGCCGGAATTCCGGCTTACTTTTGGCAAAGAAATTGATTTGTTTTGGACTGACTGGAATATACAGTAACTTTTGGACCGGAATGCTTGATCAAGCAACTGTCGATGGCTTGGGAGAGCCTGTCGTCAGGCGCATTACATTGCCTTGAGCTTCGTTCAGTCGGCCCAAGATATCCGTGATTGCAGGTGCACATGCGCTTTGCCGGAACTTTGGACCATTTCTGACCTTTCATCCCTTTTTTGGACGACCTGGAGGGAGATGCCCTTGTCTTTTCCCCTCTCTTTTTTGGTTTTGGTGTGCAACTGTGCAACCAAGCATCTCTGCTTCACAGCTTCAAGTAGGCCCGCACTCCGTCACAAACCACGTGGCCGCTCCGGGACGTGGGCTTTCCTCCCACGCCACACGAGGAAGCACTCCGCGGCCGACACGAAGATCATCGCGAAGATCGAGAACGTGGCACGGCTAGCAGCGACGGCAAAGGCACTGGAAAAGGCCCTTGTTCCGTTCGTAGTAAGGCCAGGAGCCCCGTTCGTGGCGTCCGATCGCTCCGTTCGTAGCGATGCCCTTTGCTACTAGTTACTAGTAGCTTCTTGTTACTAGTAGTAATGGCCTCCAACCTAGTAGCGATGGCCTCCAATTTCTGGATGTATGTGACATGGATTCAGAACCATGCCTTCCTGGCAGTCCTCCATGAACCAGGTTTCGAAGGTACCCGACCTGTTCTGTAATGGAAGCAAGAGCCCTTTTCCAACTCAGGTGGAGGGCCTGCGGCATTTTGATGAGATCCTGCGGGAGGCTTTTGGGCGGAACTCTTTGGCAAGGGCAGAGACATGGGCTTGAAGAAAAATAAAGTTGATCACTGATCACAAATAACTGTCGAAACAAGAGAGGTCCTCACAAGTAACTTACTTTTATGAATCATTAGGTGGTCCCTCTTCACCCTTTTTGTGGCACATGTTAGTCTGAGTCCAACCCACGGGGTGTGTCTTTCGTGTCTTGCGAAGATTGATTGGAGTCTCTTCCCACAATACGCTTGCCAACTTAATTTTTGATTCTTAATTAGGAACAGGGAGGTAGTCAGATATGTGGTTATTTTGGCATCCCAAGTGTTGCCTCTGTAGTCGCGATCTAGAATCTATAAGCCTTCTCCCTACTTTTTTTGCCCAGAGCCACCACGAGGGGAGACTTTACCAAGTCTAGTGGGAATGAACGTGAATGAACTAGCAAGAATATCGGTCATTTTTCTTGATCTTCAGTTCCTTCCGCCTTCGGTTCACGGGCTGGTTCAATTGAAGACACTTGGACCATTCGTTTGTTTGTCAGTCTGTGACCATTAGGCCGATGGAATCATGGTGGCCAGAGGCGTGGGGGTTGGCCAAAGGGATTTTCCAATCTCTGAGGAGATGGCCATGGTCGAGTCTCCAACCGAGTCCCACAAGAGGCAGACAAGGTGGGTGGCAGGTCATGCCAGTCTGTGTCATCATCCCGAAAAGACCACTCCACAGTATTGGGACAAGGAGCTTCTCTTTGATTGAGACAGTTCGGGGCGAAGGTGTTCCACTTGGTCGTGTCGAGTTAAAATTGATCTGGGAGACACTCACCAATCTCTATGTCCTGATGTGTGGAACAGGCTCCATTTTTCGAGATTAGGAACAAGTGCCACGCTAGTAGTAACAAGTGCCTTACTAGTAGTAACAAGAAGCTATTAGGAACAAGTATTTTGGATTTGGAAGAGCCGATCTCCTTTCCAATCTCCACTCGACTGACCTGTGAACACGAACTCCATTCTACGGTTCCGATGCATCGATTTGGAGAGGTGACTTGGGCATGGAAATCCCCATCGAGCGGATTTGGATGGCCCAAAAGATGATGATCAAGCGATGCAAGGCGAGTTTCACGCGACAAACCCCGACGCCCGACGCTTCCAACCGGCGGTTTGAGACCGTGTCTTTCCCACCAGTTTTGTTCCTCGCTGTCGAATGCTTCAAGTCTTAGTACAAAAACAGCACTAAGTCTTTTATGGAACACAGTTGGACAAAGCAAGGAAGTATGTGACATCAATACAGCGAAGGCTTTTCGAAGGCCCAACCAAGCCGACTAGTAAACAGGCATTTGCAAGATGTTTGGTACTGGTACTGATCATACTTATCTTGCAGATTGGTAACTAGAAGTTCACGCCTATACCGTGTGTATTCATAGCACTTTTGCGTCGCTGCTCTGAGAGAAAGCACAAAGTCCTTTTCACCCAACATGGATAGGCCATCCAAAGGACGCTACTAGGGGCTCCTGGCATCGCTACTAGGAGCAAAGACGCTGCTAGGGGCTCCTGGCCGTACTACTAGGAACAAGAAGGCTACTAGGAACAAGGGCATTAGAAGCGAGCTCCTCTCGAGGAGGCAGGGAAGCTGGTGGTGACCGCCACAGAGATGTTGGCCTCCATGGAGGCCGTGAAATGCGAATGCCGTCAGGTCACCCAACAAGACTCATGAATAACGAGCAAGGAAGACCAAGAATGCTTTCGTTTTTTCCAAGGAAAAGAAGACCAAGGGAATGCTTTGTATTCGTTTGCCTCCTATGTTGCTGCTTCTTTGGTGTGCTGTTGGATTGGGTGGACAATTGTCACCTCTTTCTTGGATTGGTCCTTTCTCTTCGTCTCTCACCATGATTTACATCTTGATGCGTCAGCGTCAGTCTCCTTTGTGGGGTGGACTGCCCGCAAGTTTTGGTGAACGGATGTTATCTTTATTCGGTCGGCTTCCGTGTTTCCATGTGTTTCTCTCTCTATGTTGTGGCCATGCGCAAGCAAAAGCTTAAAGACTTTAAGACAAGTGCAAGAAAGGCTTTGTTTAGGCTTTCCACACTCACCGGAGTGGGACCGTTGGATCTCCGCCAGGACAAGCCCTTCCCGACGCGTGCGGAAGCCTGTGACGTGGCCAATGCAGTGTTGGACGGCAGTGACATGGTGATGCTGAGTGTCTCGGCGGCAGAGACCAACAGGAAAACCGAGGGTTCACCCGTAAGGGTTCAAGGCGTTGCACCCCTTCACTCTCCCAAAGCGGACGGGAGAACGGGATGCTGGGGCTGTGCAAGATCTTGACCGGTCAGAACATGATGTAGGAACAAGGACGCTACTCGGAGCAAAGGGCATCGCAACGAACGGAGCGATCGGACGCTACCTGGCCTTACTAGGAACAAGGACGCTACTTGGTGGAAGGTAAAGAAATGAACACTGCTGCCCCGCACTTGAATGTATATCAACATTCCCGAATGGACCATCCGATTCTTTCTCCCGTGACTCAGTTTCAGGGTCGCATCACAGTTCGTCAGCTACAACGCGAAGGCGGCGATTCGATTTTTGGATTCCCTGGAGTTGACCGGGTACCTCCAGACATGAGCCCTGGCCCAACACTCACACTCACCCCGTGCATTGTTCGCGAAGGTGGCGAGGTGGCCAATGGGGCCTTCCCCGTCCAGACCTGTGCCATGATGCGGAGGCCCTTCCAATGAAAGTCTGAAAAAACAAACAGGAAACGGGCACGGGAGTGGAGACGATGTTCTGTGATGCGAGGCGATTGATATTTGATTATTTGGGGAAGAAAGGAACAACAGAGACGCGTGACAAGTTTATCAATTCGTTTTTGGTCCCGAGACCTTTCGACGCCTTTCTGCGTTTTCTCCCTTTGTCCCTTTTGGTGTTGGACACTCAATTCGGAGGCGACCAGGGAGACTAGGATCTCTCTCCAGCCCTCAAGCTCTGAAAGCCAAAGGGGGCAAACTTTAGGGGTGACTTCTGCGATGGCCTCCACCCTGGAAGCGATAACCTCCAACTTGCTTTAGGGGTGACTTCTGCCTGGCAAGTTTGGAAGAGAAGATGAATTCATCCTGACACAGACCCGCGCCCACCCGCCACCAAGCCTTCAAGCTGAGCACCCATGCAGTCTTCAAAGGTTGGTAGAACCGCACAATGTGTTGGTTTTCAACTTTCGATGGATATAGGCACGGAGCCCTACTTGCGCCTGCGTATTGGTCTGTGTTCCGCAATACATGCACACACCTTCACCATCGCTGACTCTTTGAGGGGCCAAGAAACGAGCGACAGACGCAAGAGGAAACACCAAAAAGAACACCAAAACGCCATGCACAAAAAAACAAGAAGCTACTAGGAACAAGTGCATCGCTTCTAGTAACAAGTGCCTTACTAGTAGTAACATGTAGTAACAAGGACGCTACTAGGCAAATCCACAAGGGGCAAAGAAGGCTTCGTATCACCTCCCAGTGCCTTTCCTTCCCAGGATCATTGAGGAGGCGGAGCATGCCCTAGAGCCTTGGCCACGGAGGGTCTTGGACAAGGAACGACATGAAAAAGGCCGAGAAGTCCAAGGTGACCTGGGTTTTGCTGGTCATATTTGGTCAAGGACCTGGGAGAAGCCCCAGAAGGCCAAGTTCCAAGCCACAGAGAGGATCAATGGAGACAGGGGGAGTGAAATCCTTCAGAGCGAAAGCTGATTGCGTCAACACCCTTTGACATACTGTACTACTAGTTACAACGATTTTTTCAATGTACTTGGGAGGGAACACCGGGGGGGACAGGCCGGGGGGGTTCTATTTGAGAAGGTTTGACCTTTGACCGTCTTGCTGGATGACCCTGCAGCAGAAAGAGACTGAGGAACTGACAGTAGCTTCTTGCTACTAGTAGCGATGCCCTTTGCTCCTAGTAGCGTCCTTGTTCCTAGTAGTAAGGCCAGGAGCCCCTAGTAGCGTCCTTGCTCCTAGTAGCGATGCCCTTGTTACTACTAGCAGAAAAAGACTGAGGAACTGGACTCCTCCCACAGCGTCTTTACCTGACCAATGGCCCCGCCGTTCGTGCGAACGGCTGGTGCCGTGAATTTTCGGCGGCTTCGCCTTTGAAACAGGGAGGCTGTTTGACCGGTGAGGTCAGAGTGTGAGGACTTAGGCGAACAAGGTCTGCAAGGTTAGCCATTTCAACGACTTGAGATTCCCTTTGGTGAGGAGGCCTTCTTGTTCTGGCTCGTGCCGCCAGTGCATGTTCTGAGAAGGACGTCCACGTTGTTCCAACTGGATTCGACTCAAGCGAACTAAGGGGCTTTCCCATCCCCTCAGTGCCCACGGTTATTTGGGGAGTAGATCATGCTACCCAATCAACTCCTGCACTTCCAAAAGAGAGAATAGTTCACCCCGCTTCGTAGTCCACAAAGGATTCATTTGCCATGGGGCCACTAGTGCAGTATTTTGAGAGCCATTTTTGCAGTACGGGAACAGATTGCAAATGACAGGGGTGCGGCGACTTTGGGACTCACACAGCTGAGTTCTGTTTTGTTTTTGATGCCTTCCGTTCAAAGGGACGAACCAGCTTGGACTTCCAAATTCCCCCCCAAATTCACCAACCAATTTGTAGACATGTCATATTTGTGGCTTTGTCTTGTTGCAGGAGCCCTCCCAATAAGATAGAACTGCAAGACGAGAGCTCGTCTTGGATCGCGCTCGTCTGAGAGTGCATAGAGTTGCTTTGCGGATCCAGCTGAGCTGAAGCTGATGGGCGAGATAGAGGGAAGGCATGGATCCCCGTAGAAAGAAAACAACTTGTCTTGTGGCTGGATCTTGGGGTTCTGCATCCTATCCTGGACAACTTATGAACCTGGCACTGCCAAGAATCTTTCTTTTTTGGAACTATACACAATGAACTGGTTTATACTAGAGGACGCTACTAGGAGCAAAGGGCTCCTGGCCTTACTAGGAACAAGGACGCTACTAGGAACAAACTATACCTGTACACAAATACCACGACCTCACCGTCGAACGGCCCTGCCGGGCGAAGGGGAAGGGATTCCTTTCGCCGCGAAGGATTTTGTAAACCGTCCTGAGCCCCAAGCGTTGGGGGTTCGCCAAATCATCTACACCAACTGCAGGGTGGTTTCATCTTTCTCAAGAGTGGTTCGGGTTTCTTTGGCTCATCGTGCCAAAGACCTCAGCATAGCACCTTCACTTATTAGGGGATGTATTTGAGCGCACGTGCAATTGAACCGTGCGACTTGTTTGGCGAATCCCCCCATCTCTTTGTTGACTTTGTACAGGAAGCGCAGCTGTCGACCAAAAGCGCAGCGGTCGACGTGCAGGGTTTCGAGGAAGGAGCACGCCCAGACAGCCATCCACCTCCGTGCTTGCTCAACAAGAATAGCTGCTAGGAACAAAGGGCATCGCTACTAGGAGCAACAAGCTACTATTCTACGATTCCACTGCCGTTGAGAAAGTTGTTAGGATAAGTGTCTGGAGCTCGGGAGAATATTGAGCACTTTAATTTGTCAGATTTATCCAGCTGAATCATGGGGGCGATAGTACCAGCAATGTGTGCCCTCAACTTAAACCCGTCAGCAGGACCAGGCAAAGGTCTCCCCCAAATGATTAGAGGGAAAGGATGCTTAAAGGTCATTCACTATTCCAAAAGTGGTCGGAGCGTTTGAAACCTCTTTTTCCACCTCTGTTTCTGGCCCGATGAAACCCACCGCGGGTACGCGTTGCTGAGGTCGAGGACGGGAGGAATCGGCTGCGTGAGATGCAGAGTTCCTCTCGGTTGACCGGGGATCACTTGACCAGTCGGAGCAGGGAGACTTTGATAAACCGCAGATTTCGCAGTAGGGGAAGGCACCGTCTCGTCTGGATTTGTCCAGAAGCCAAGGACCAGAAAGCCTGGAGAAAGGGGAGAAATGGTCAGGTGACTACTCAGGTGACCTTTCTCGCTTCATCCGTTTTGCTCGTTTCACCCACACCCGTTTCACCGCTCGGTGAACCGCTCTCAAAGGAAACAAAGTGCACCGCCAGAGATCCGTGCGTGCGATGTTTGTGCCGATCTGCATTGGTCGGGGTCCAACGGACACAAACAACTTGCCAAACATAGTCCTTAGAGCCTTAGATGTGCTGGGAGCCCATTCCAAGCAACTCATGAAATGGCATGCTTCTGACCAAGGAAGCATTTCACCAGTGTCAAAAAGCATGTTGTTTTTCTCCATGAAGAATCGCAAGTTGATCCACTCGCGAGTGATTCGCCTCGAGAACTGTTTCTTTGACTGGAGAGCCTGGCCGGTGAAAAGTGAAAAGGTGATTTCACTCCAGGGCACAAAGCAATGTTGAAAAACTGAACGTATCATTGGCAAGGACGCAACTAGTAGCAAAAGGCATCGCTACTAGGAGCGATCGAACGCTACGAACGGGGCTCCTGGCCGTACTACGAACGGAACAATGTTCGCTATTAGAAACAATAGAAGTGAGCTGGAGTGAAGTGACCTGATGTATTTATCACTTTTTGACTCTGTGGCCCTATTGATTCCTGCAGTTCCAGGGGGAGCAATTCTGGCAAAAGACCGTGTGCGACCGACGTCGAAGCGCAGGTGGTGCTGGAACCGGCGCCCTCGATCCGAAAGAGTACCCGTGAGATGGTCAGTCTGAGCCCTTGGAAGGTGGGGCGAGTGGAGGAAATCCACTTGGTTGCCACTACACTCCCTTTGTAGTGGCAACCAAGTGGAAATCCCTTGGTAGCACTTGGTTGCCACTTTGTAGAGGGAGTTTCCGGAATGATCATGTTGGGATGTGAATTGCATGTAGGGAATCTTTACATTAAGATTTTCGCTCTGGTCCAGCCACGTACTGGCAGTGCGTGTGAAGGACCGAGCGACGACGCCGAAGGGACGTCGCCCTCGGGCGACCGATGGAAACCGATGGAAAGGCCTTGATTCAAAGTAATTCTAATAGCAAACATTGTTACTACTAGTAAGGCACCTGTTACTACTAGCGTGGCACCTGTTACTAGAAGCTATTAGTAATAACAAATATGGTGCGAATTAATTACAATGAGCTTCTTGTTACTAGTAGTAAGGCACATGTTACTAGTAGCTTGAGCTTCTTGTTACTAGTAGCGATCAAGTCGCACGTCGAGGTTCCTTCAATGCCATGGACGACTTCGAACGGGAACTTCAAGAGATCACTGAAGCTGCAGGTCGATCGAAGCGCTGGGCACTGGTGAGAGGAAACACAGTGGGTCGAACAGCCAAAAGACCAGCTGCAGAGACTCTGCAGAGCTGAGCTTAGGTGAAAAAGGTGTTTTTTTTAGATCTCAAGGATGGCGTGGACTCTGTCACACTTTCCAGGAAGCGATGGTTGTCTCTGGTGAACTACGGTTATCGATGGTTATCGGTTCCATTGACCCCAAGAAACCTTCTCCGTAACCAATTCGCCTGTTCAATTGTGGCAGAGTTGATCTTGACACTTCGATCCAATTGAAGCAGAGTCTTTTCAGCAAACAGAAATAGTCACGTAACGCATTACTGTTGGTTCTACTTTTTGTTTATTTGTTTGTGCTTCTATTTTTTGTCCATACAGATTCAGATTGTTTTTTTCGGTCCAAGACGGAGTCGACTGAGTTGGACCAAAAAGAAACCGGCTGTGCTTCTCCAGGTGCTTCGGAAGAGGCTCTCAAGGGTGCGAAGGTGGGGAAGGGGAAAGAATCAAGAAAAAACAGGAAAGGAAGAAACAGGAAAAAGGAGTGATGTTTTTTCTTTTTTTTCAAGTATTTTTTTTGGAAGACGCGGTTCCTATATAGCTTCATTTTCTACCTGTGAGGTGAAGGTATATGAATGTCTTCACTATGCAGGAGTTAGTGATTCTAAGAACTTTGTGAGTTCTTCAGCATCAGTACTGATTCAGCTTACTGGAATCTTGTCAGCTCTGGAGTCAATCCTTTCCGAATGGATTTGTCCAAAGAATTTTCAGGGTGGTCCCATGATTGAACTAATTCCTGAACTAGTTCGTTTTAGGATTGGCTCACAGTGAGAAAGGACAAGCTCCAGAGTTAATTCTTGAGATTTATGAGCATTTAATCACCGGTTCCAAAGAGCAATTGGGAATGAGCCACCACTGGTGTGGATTCTAAAGAACTATTTTTCGGCACATAGAATGGAGCACGTCCCCTGAAGATCTATACACAGGACTGGACTATTTACACGCCGGTCTCATCTTCAACGAGTCTATTTTTGCGGCTCGCATCATCCATGTGTTTCCAACTCGAAGATCCCTCGTTAGCCCTTGCAGTTAGCCCTGTAACACGATGTGCATGTGAACCTCAAGCGTACTAGAATCGAATCACTGTTCCTGGTATTTTCAGATCCGCCACACCCTGGCCGGCCAAACGCTAATGTTCGAAAGCCCACGGAAAGAGGAGACGCTGGCAATGGACGATGGGTCAACAGAATTGTGCGGTGTAGATGCTTTTTTTCGGACATGATGCTCGGTCGCTTTGTCCGTCGAGATTTGCTTCTTTGTCCGTCGAGTGTTTATCCATTGACGGAACGTGCGGTGTCCTTTTGGTGTCCAAGCCCTTCATTCACAAGCAAGGGTGTTGATTTGTCTCGTGTGGATCTCTTTCATCAGCCATTCCAAGCCCTTTGGTTTCACTCGTTATTTCAGTCGTTTGGGCAGTTTGTGCTGTGGCAGGTGCTCCCGGTGAACCCTCACATCCGCGAAGAGCAGCAGATTCGACAGGTGGGCTTTGCTGTTTGGATGAACTGCCGGTCGTAGCGATGCCCTTTGCTCCTAGTAGCGATGCCCCTGCTACTAGTAGCTTCTGGCTACTAGTAGCGATGTACTTGTTACTAGTCCCGCAGGTGGTCGATGACCTCTGGTTGATGTGGGCGAAACCGCTACTCTACTGCCACATCATGCTATGGTTTTTGCGGTCCGCTTGGAGAATTGGTTCAAGGTCAGCGCCCAAAACACCACAACTATTTGTGTTTGTGCGGTTTGCAAGTTTAATGAGGACTGATGTCCAATCGCAATCA